CCCCAAAACCCCAAAACCCCAAAACCCCAAAACCCCAAAACCCCAAGAAATTAGGCATATGTTGAACTTGAGTTGACCATTATTATAGCAGAGCTTTGGTATATTAGAGGTAACTCGGATATTCTATTACGTCTAAATATGATCCAATTCCTTAAAAGCTGGATTGTATTTAAAAAGAAGCAATTATGATAGATTTTATTGTGCTATATTTATTCTTTAGGTATGGAATACAATGACTCAGCATTGGTGAGTGATAAATATACCAAAGTACTCTTGTCTTTACAATTAGTATTTACTGCTAGACTGCTATAAATGATTTAGTAAAGTTTGAACAGGAAATACCTGATATTTTCTTGTCTCAACATGGCTATATTTTCTGTACTTCTGACCAGAACAACTTGGCTTTGGGGTTGGCAGAATTTTGCCTCTAATCGAGCTGATCATCATCAAACTTCTATTATGTTTCCGATGTTTAGGCTTGCTACTTTGGGTTTCAGCCAAAGACCGTTTGGATAAATTCAATCGGCTGTTAGCAACATGAAAAAGACCTCGCTTGGAGACATGATTAGAAGAGTAATTTAGCTTTCGAATCTTTTTAGTTCCCTTTCTTGAACTCAACTTTCGAGAGTTAAAAGCTTCCTTGTTAATGTGAATCTTTTCCTTGAGATTAATTTCTTGAGAAGCGTTGCAGTCATTTTGCACTTTAGTTATCTGGATGTTGACTGGTTCAGTAAGAAAAGAACTATAATTATGATTCGTATTCTCATGTGCTCCAGGAGTAATGAACTCATTTGCATTGATGATCTCTCCTTTGTCAAGCTTTTCTTGAAGTTTATAGTCCTCAAATAGATCATCTACTTCTTGGAGAGTGCTCGTTTCGTAATCTTTGGAGTTATTTGGAAACATTAAATTTTTGAAGCAATTTAGAGCACAAGCACGATGTGGAGGGATCCATTCTATACATTACTGGATGAATTACTTTGGAGCCTTATTTTTGTACAGAAATCTTTAGCTGATGTGCGTCTTTAGCATTGTCTTTATTGTATGGGAGGAACTTGCCTGATATTTTTCCTCGGGATTCTTCAGTCTCTTTCATTTTAAGAAATTCTACAAACTCCTTTGATTGAACTTGCTTTATTTTTGAGTCTTTGAAGAGTCTGTGATAAACATCATTTTTCTCTATGAGGTGAGGAGACTGACAAACCTAGCTCCTCGGCATTGAAGAGTCTTTGCTGTCTATTTCTCTACATGATAATCTTGAATAGTTACCAATAATTTTATCAAAATTTGTCTTAACAAAGTGGAAAATATGACCATATTTGTCTTCCTTCATCTGCTCAGTTCTGTTGAAGTTGGGGTGATCTAGAGTTGAGGCCAAACGAATACTTTTAGAAGAAGAGGTCCTGATCCGAATACCCTTTGTGTACCTCTGCTCCATAGTTTTACTTAAGCTTTCATGGAGGTCATCCCCACCTAATCTAGATGAAGCCTTGTGGGAGGTCTCCAGTGCTAGATCTGACTCTTCAGCTGATTCCTCCTTTTCATTGATTAAGTCATGATGATCTATTTTAGTGTGGAATTTGGGAGAAATTCCTTTTGATTGAGTCTTTTTAGCTGCCTTCGCAGGATTTGCACTAAAATCATTTGATTTCTTCTTAAAATTTATCGTATTGGCATGACTATAGGCTTGGTGAAGAACTTACCTCAATTTATTTTTATGGTGCTTTCCTGTAATTGATTGGGCATGCACTACTGCAGGGTCAAATTCAGCAGATTCTGGGATCGATAGATTGGTCTGAATCGGAATATTCTTGCCTATGACGCTTTAGTGAATAGTAATTACTTGGCTTATCAGGTTTATCTTTTTGGTCAGGTTTCTTCACAACCAAGATATTGTTGATATCTAGAAATTATTAGAGAGCTCTACCGTTAATGGTGGTCTGAGCATATTCAGATTTTATATCTGCTTTATTTATCTTAGCAAGACTTTGCAGTTCTGATTCTGAGAGATGGTGCATAACTTTGCTCTTCTCAACAGAGGCTATATTTGTCAAAATTCCGCTCATGAACCCTTTCACATGTTTTTCAAGTTCATTCTGGAGCTTTTGCTTGTCTTCCTCAAGTGTTCGGATCAGAGTTTTGGAATGCTCATGAGCCTTCACCAAACTTTCATATTCAGATTGGAGTTTCCTGTCAGCTGTCTTCATGTTTTCTAAAGATCTATTGATCATGTATATTTCGTTTATGGCTTGGTTATGTTTCTCCTCGAGACTATTTCTCTCCTCGACCACAGAATGGTGCTCATATTTTAGCTCTGCTAGGTCAATTCCTAAATTAGTGTTCTCGTCTCGAAGGAATTGGAGATCTTCTCTAAGGGTCTTTGTCTTCTCGTCATACTCAGCACGGATGTTGTCCTAGAAGTTTTTAATTTATTTTACATTTAGTATCTTTTCAATGAGCTCGGCAGCATCGAGGTCAAATTTCTTCTTCTCCTTCATGTTTTTGATAGCTGCCATGAAAGCCCATCGCATTATCTAGAAAGTTAGGCGTGAGATAGGCGTACCCCTCTTCTGAGTTGCTCCTTATTTTAAGATAACATCAAAATTTTCATTCAGTTCTTCAGCTTTCTTAAGTTGTTGATAGAGTTCTGCTTTATCTTGATCATGGACTTGGAACGCTCTAAGAAGGTAACAAAGCGAAGACTTGCCTAGTCATCTTTTCTTGATGCAATTGCTCAGCTTCTCTGTATCCTTTGTCCTTGTAAAGCACTTTAGTGAAATCGATTTGATCCTTGTGGGATGCTTTAAGTTGGTTCATTTCAACATCTTTCGCATCAACTAGACTTCGCATGTGCTTGATCTCAATTTCTCATTTTTGTGTGACATTTTCTAGATTTCGATCAGCTTCTTCCCTAATCTTTGCGATTTCTTTCTTAAGTAATTCTTGGTCTTTATGACTGAAGATTTGTGAGTACTCGCTCTGGACTTGGTGGTGGAAGAAGGTGCTTCCGTATGTTTCCTTTAGGCAATCCCAGACAGTTTGTGAATCACTCTCGATGATTTTGATATTACCAAATATCTCCTCTAAGGTATAATTCATGAAGGCATAACTCTCAGGAGTAAGGGCTCTGTACTTCGCCAAGTCAATCATGAGCTCAGTCTGGTATTTGATATGGTCCTCGATTCTATTTTTCAAACTGTTCTTTCACATAAGCGATCTTTTCATTGAGAATGTCGGTGACATCTTTGTCTAGGCCTTGGGATGGGTCGAAGAACTTTATGTCAACCTCTTTAAGCTTTTGTGGGTCCATCATACTCTGTTCGTTAGTGGAGAGGCTTACTATTTGTTTGATGGTTGATAGCTCTTTGTAGTACTTCATTCTCATTTCATGCATGTTCCGTTTCACACGATTTAATTCTGATTTTAATTGCTCTTTTTGAGTAGTCAGGTCGGTAATTTTCTTATTAAATTTATAAGCAAGTTTTCTAAAATTAGGAGGTGTCAGTTTGTGGATGAAGGAAGTTTCACTAAGTTTCAAGGATTATAGCATCAAATAAAGATGTTCAGCCGAATGTCTGCTTTACAATATAAATTTTTTAACAGAGAATTACCACAGATTCATATATCAAATTTAATATCTCATACATAATATAATATTGCAAAGAAAATTGCGTTCCTCTTTTGTCAACCATTAGGGCTAAACTAAGTGTATCACCTCAAAATGTGTGTAAAGACACATCATAAACACTTCATTCATCTTAACCCTTCCAACAAATACCCATCCCAACCCACATTCAAGCTCACTCAGGAGCCATTCCATTTATCCCCAGATGACTTCAGAATGTCCAAACATAGCTATCTAAGCTGCTCCTAAAGACTTCTCACCCATCAAGCGCTCTTGCTAGTTTTTCTCTAATTTCAACTCTAGCCTCAGTGTCTGTGTCTGAGTAGAACTCTTCAGCTGCTTTCTCATTTTTAGGGATGAAGAAACTTCTACTTTTAACCTTTTCATGCGATGGCTATAGCATGGTTAATGTCGTTCATGCAGAGTTGGGGTTTATGAACCCAAAGTCCTACTTACAGGTCTCAATCCGTCCATTTTATATTCAATAAATAAATTTGAATTTGGGGTTTTGGGGTTTTGGGGTTTTGGGGTTTTGGGGTTTTGGGG